TTTATTTATTTATTTTTCAAATTTGTATGCCACCCATCTCCCCCAATGGGTGACTCTGGGTGGCTCACAATAATAATAAAAAAAAAAACACAGGACTCTTCAGACATAGAGTTTATTTAGCAGATAAATACAGATTTTCCCTTTACTTCATCTCCATTCCAGATAAATTGTCACTTGCTTTTTTTTTTTTTTTTTTTGTCCTTCAGGATGATGTTAATGGCTCAGGAATGCAGCACAAAGAGAGACTTGGAAACCTGGTGTGGTGTTTCTAACTACCCTGCTTTCACTTTATGAAGCTTGTTTAAATGGAAGCATTTCTAGATTTCTATCTGGTCCTCAACCAAAAACATTGCTTTTTAAAACTCAAAGTGTAGTTACTGGAAGAACACAAAGTGTATGAATCATGTGCCCTGTAAACTATGGAAAACTTCATTGAATTGTAGCATACTGATATTTAAAATTAAATATATGAGCAAACTCTTGATTCTATCCAATGGAAGCATCTGGTGCATCTTCTCCCATCTGGTGCCTTTAGATATCCTGAACTATATTCTTGCTAACCCAGGGGCTACATGACTATGGAATGATAGAGATATATCCGGCACATAGCTTGAAGTAGGGAAGACTGAAATAAAATACAATGGTGTTTAGCTTTTGTTCTGAGGAAATGAGGTCACAGATAGAAGACAACAAATGGTAAGAAGAAAATCCAAAGGATATGAGCATTGGTATCCCTTCTGATCATTGGTAGGACTGGGAGGCAAAGATTCAGACAGAAGCAGTGGGTGGAACAATGCTTGTAGGAGTAAAGCAATGGGTGGAAGAAGAGACAGCATGGAAAACCAAGCCAAGGTAAAAGGAGAAAAGTGGGACCCATAGAAAAGAAGTCAGAAGTCAGAACAGAACAGAAGTCACCTTAGTCAGATACTTGCGCTTAACCATGGCATAAACTTACCTTGGCAACATCTCTCTCTCTTTTTTTTTTTCCTGCTGTGTCCCCAGGGTGTTGCCTTCATCTCATCCTCAGCCCATGAATGAGACAAGCTGAAGTATTTTATCACTGTTAAAATGGCATTTCCCCCCGTTATTCTAACATCATCCAAAGGCAGACTCAAGGTTTAAAAATCTATTAGGCTGTAACACCCATTACCCTGGAGGAAAGTCAGGTGGCTGTCAGTGATTGGGAACAGAGGCAATGGAGACTGCACATTTCATGCTGGCTTCATTTTCTGCTGACTCAAGTGGATAACATTTCATTTAAGCAACAGGGAAGGCTTGTAGTATCCTGGCTGAACTTGCAGGACCTTGGATAGCTCTAAAGAGACAATTTACTGGAGCTCAAATTAGGCCTTTTATCTCTCTTGAGACATAGGATAGCACTGAGTTTCAATCCTATTTCTCCATGGCATGCATCCCTAGTTTTCATGATCCAGTGATTCTTCTTCTCCCGTGTCAGAGTACTGGCTTTTGACAGATCTAGGGTCTCTCACACAAGCAAAGAACACCAGCCAGGTTTGTCTAATTTACACTAGAAACTACTAATGTCTTGAAGCCTAATGAATGATCCTATTTTCAAATGTTGTAGAATATAGTACAAAATAATTTTGAGCAGCTCAAGACAAAGGCTGGCCTTTGAATTATAGAACTTGCTAGAAGTGTAGCTCAGGGTTGAACTGTGGAGTCCTTGGGGTTCTCTGAACTATTTTCTTACAAATGTTTCATTACCCAGCTGGGTAACGAAATGTTTGCAAGAAAACAGCCAAGCTCAAAGAACCCTGAGGACTCCACAGAACTTGCTTACTTGACAAATGAGCACTTGTACTGTGTGGCTTTGTAGTACAGAGATGGACAAGCCATGGCTTGAGAACCATGTGAGCTTCTGAGCAGGTGATTTTGGTTCCAGAGTCATAAAGTTATGTCATTAAAATTCAACAGCAAACCATTCAATTCAATGCTTCTTCGAATGTTCATTTTAATGTGAAGATTATTTTAAAATGGATTCACTGATGATGGTGGTTTCCATTCTCTTTGTAGCATTGGTTCAACTACTGCAACCCTTGGTCAGTAAAGAAAATGCACAGTGGCTCCCAGAAAGTGAAATATTACTCAGTCCTGCATTAGAGAAACTGATAGATTAAAAGAACTAATTATGGTGGCTGTTGCAAAGAAGTTGATGAGCAAGACAATCATACCTGCTGTGGCATATGGACTTTTGTGGCCAAGCTGGCTGCTGCTGAGCTGGCATGAGTCAGGAGGCAGAGAAAAAGAAATGGGGAGAAGAACTCAGGTACAGGTAGTCCTTGGGTTACGGTGGCAATTGGGACCAGAATTTCTGTCACTAAGTGATGTGGTTGTAAAGCACAACATCACATGACTGCATCGCTTAGTAATGGCAATCCTAGCCGTCCCAGTTGCCATCATAACCCAGAGACCACGTGGGTCATTAAGAGAGGACCTCACATGACCAGAGTCCTAGGCAAGCAGGCTAGAGGGTGGGTGGGTGAGTGCCACGACATGACTGAGGTCTGAGAAAGCACGAAGAAAGGCTTTAACCACACTCCAAAGTAAATCAGCCAATGCCCACCTTATCTCTCTCAGTGAAAAGCTGAGGGGGAGAGAAGAAGAGAAAGTGGAGCAGTTGGTAGTTAAGCAATGGTGAAGGAGGTCACTAGCAAGAAGCCCTGGGAGAGAAGCAGAGAAATTTGGAGCCTTTCAAGAGACAGGAGAGAGAAAGGCATTTTCTACTGGAAAGTTTGGACCAACTGCTATAAATTCTTCTGTTTTTCCCTAATTCCTGTAAATATATTTGTACATAGTAAAACAAAAGCAAAAAGCCCCTGTGGTCTCTTTCTCTCTGAAGCAATTGTTCTGCTTGAAGTCAGACATATCCCCAGACATACAAAGTACCATCAGTTGTGCTGTGACGTAAGCAACGTGTTTTTTAGATAATATTCTTAAGGCCTCTCTTCTCACACATACTATTCTTGAATGTAACTTCTGGGTAAGAAGAAGAATATTAATTCCTCACTTTCATCTCTGTGCTTGATTATTCTAGGATCTGAGAAGATTTAGAAAAGCCCACCACTTGTCCCTTCTGTGGCAATAACTTTAATCAGGGATGGGAGGTAGAGAGCATCAACAAAAAAGTAAGGCAGCATGTGTAATATAGGACAATGCAGAATAGAGTAGGCGGACTGGGATTCTTCACTCTTGTTCATTCGATGCAGACTTGGGGCCTGTTATCGGCTAGTTACCAATCTCTGATAGATCCTTATAGGCTGTGCCTGCTATCATTTCTTTGCAAACGATATCATGTTCATAAAAAGCATGATTTCTTAAATGACAGGATCAACTCCTTATGCTGTTTTGTTTTCCTTTTCAGTAAGTGTGGCCGTTGGTGTAATTGTGAGGCCGTCATGGCAGCATTTAAAGGCATCTGGACCAAGTCCTTCTGGAAGTCTGTTTCAGCAGAATTTTTGGCCATGCTCATTTTTGTCTTCCTCAGCCTTGGCTCTACAATCAACTGGGGTGGAATTGAAAAACCTCTGCCTGTGGACATGGTCCTTATTTCTCTGTGCTTTGGACTCAGCATTGCAACAATGGTCCAGTGCATTGGACACATCAGTGGTGGCCATATTAACCCTGCAGTGACGGTTGCAATGGTTTGCACACGAAAGATCAGCCTTGCCAAGTCAGTCTTCTATATTGCAGCCCAGTGCCTGGGTGCCATCGCAGGGGCAGGGATTCTCTATCTTGTCACCCCATCAAGTGTAATTGGGGGACTGGGAGTTACCCAGGTAGGTCGAAAGAGTGGAGAATTACCTATTGTAATGGAATGCAATAAAACCGAAGCTAAGCCTTGCAAACCCATTTCAGCATTTGCTTGAATGTGCTTGGGGCTTCATAACAGAAAGAGAATAATGTGCTGAGCTCACTTCC